TGGGGGATGCAGCGTTGGAGTATATGAGTCACATGCTCTGATGTTCCACAACTTCAGCTCGTTTTGCATGATTTGATCCAAGACCAAGCTCTAACGCTAGTCAATGGGGAATTAAAGTTTTGGTGTATGGATTAATTTTTGTGGCTGGCTAATAATTGGAAAAAACGTGGTGCGATGATTTATGCATAATTCTAGGGATCATCTTCTTCTCTCTTACGAGTACAATTCATAAATTTGGCGACTGGTGTTGATTAGGTTGACTCCCTCTCAACACATGCTGAGGTCTTGGGCTGAGCTTCTTTCATGGACCAGTACAACAACTCCCCGAACACCCTCCCTTCTTCGCACCTTAGCCGCTCAAGCAACAATCTTCTACTTGTGGAAACAGAGAAACAGCGTCTTTCATGAACATCATCAATGCGAGACGTCGACGACACTTCACTAGCTTGATGGAGCTCTGGCTCTCCCTCGTGGGATTAGCTAGGGTCAAGCTGCAGCTTTAGTTAATCTCATGTCATGGACACCACAAAACCCACTTCGTGGACCTACTCTCTTTATTCCATTTGGCTTCTTCATCTTCATTTCATTATCATAGTCCCTGGAGATAGATATACACAAATACATGCATGTGTAATCTAATATATCTATTCATCAGTATATATAGTAGAAAATTAATGTATGTGGCCATGGTGGCTTGAAACGTTGGCATCGGATCATCTAATCCGAATGGTACTATCGCCATCTAGTTATCATCTTGTACTTAATTGCGTCGCGGTTTCTTCCAATGCAAACAACCAATTCCCTGAGGTCGGAGGTTCTTCCGGAATCGTCTCTACGTTCTTCTTCCGATCATCTCTCAACATCAACGCCTCCCAATGATCGAAAGTCTCCGCCTTTGAGTCTTCTTGCTTCTTCTATTTGACATCATCCAACAAAACTAGGTCTAGTGCGAGACTGGAAGCAGAAACAGAATGATTATTCGAACCCGTATGGAAATCATTCGCATTTGGAGTGTCGTCCTCCTCTGTACAAGGCACTGGAGGACTACTAGTCCCTGCTTCAGTCCTACTCATCAAATCCTTCAAAGAAGTACTTCGAAACGGCCCGTAATCCGAATATCTCTCCGACGAATCAATCCTTGAATCTCCAAAATCAAGCGAGCTAGAAACCGTCCAATCTTTAGACGAAGGAGGCGGAGGAAGAAGACTATTCGACAACCGCTTGCCGGAACGACGAATGATCCTTTAAAAACCCTTGCAACAAAAAGAGATCTTTCGAATGCTCGGATACTCTGACGTTCGTCCTACACCAATCGATTTACAAAGATCATACGTAGAATCCGTCAAGCTCTTTGGAACTGTTTCGAAGTTCGAACGCAATCTTGAAACGCATGCATGCAAGATTGGTATTGCAAACGGAAGAAACTATGAAGACCGAAACTCTCTTGCGCGACTGCATAAAGCGACAATTTCACGAGCTTGTTTGATTTGGCGTCTCCCGTTTGGCCGCCTAAGAGTTTTCTATTAGGTGGCTCTCGGGAACTCTAGAAGAGGGGAAGATTTACCAGCTTTATGATCTAAGAAATTAATATATACCACTTCCGAAGAGATGACATTTAGCTGACGTGACGAGGGCGGTTTAGAATAGTCAATCTCACTTTCAATATTGTGTTTAATCTTCATTAGTTTGCATAAAGCGTAAAATTGGTGTTTATATACATGCACCAAACCAGAAAGTAAACCAACTAAACCATAGCCTTAAATGAGAATCTATATACTCTAATACTCACAGAGCCTATTTCCTCTACAAACACAGCCTATAACAACGCCAAATTCCAAAAGTGTTAATTTGTGTTACACGATGGTTGTTCTTCCTAATATATCTCCAAACTGACTATGATCAACTCATAAATCATGGTTTTTTTTGTTTGATTTTAGAACTTTTTTTATTTAAAACCTCATTTCTTTTTTTTTTTTAGCCTTTTTAACGCTTAAACTTCAAAGCAAAAATCCCACTGAATGGAAATGCATCGAAAACCAAGCTGAAGTTGAATCATTTTTTTTTTCTTTTTCTTAAGATAAATCATGGCATGTGGTAAGTTGAGACGAAGAGAGATGAATTCTTCTCTCCAAACAACATAGTTGGCGCCATATGCACCATATTATCGTAGACCATAATTTTCTACAAGCTTTCCGCTTCGGTTCAAAACCATACCAGAAAAAGTACAAGGTATACATGTACATGCTTACATATACGTATATGCATTTTACATAACCCTCTCTGGCTCTCTTGAATGCTCGAGTCATATGGAAATTATCGTCCATGAATTTAACGGAAAATCCGAAGCCATAACAAGTGGAATAGGAGCCACAAAGAGAAAAAGATGTTTATGGTTACGCTGTGGAAGGAATACCAATGTCCATTATATCATCAAGGTCCTTCACATAATGAATTTAAATTTTCACTTTAATTTATCTAATTTGCATTTACACCATGTTATTCTAATTGTGATTGATGGGCTTACATTTTCGGGAATTATTTAATAGATTTACCGAGGAATTTTTTATTAAGGATGTTTATGTTCAACAGTTTATCAATTGATCAAGTAAAAAAAAAAAAAAACTCAAGTTGATAACGGAGTAAAATTCATAATTGATTCTTTGTTCAAGTTTGTAGGGACAATAACATATATATATATACTCGAGAGCCGATGATTTCCTCTTCGATTGGTAAGTTGGACACAAGCACTTCCGAAAGAAGCACTTCCCAGTAGACTAACTAGAGCAAGAAGGCAAAAAAGCTTCACCAGACACGATAGGCAGAAGGGAAGACTCAACCGGAGTCAAGACTAAAATCTTCACCAGAACTAGTGCGGAAACAATAGATCTTCACCACCGCATGGGCGAAATCCGATCCAAAACTCAGCAAGAAGCACAAGCTTCACCGATCCAAGCCCCCCAATCGAATCTAGAACCACAATAACCTTCTAAACTCCAGACAAAGCAACGAATCTCTCTAGAAGAGAAGAGAAACCAAAACCTACAAAAGCATAGATAAAGTACACCCCAAAGAATGAACCGGAAAGCCCAACCGAGAAAGCTACGCTAAAACCAGAGAGTAGTGAAAGGATAGAGCTCGAAAGTTTCGGTAACACATCTCCCCAAACCGAGAAAGACAAAACCCATAACTCCTCACTCTCCCAAACCACTTCATATCTAGACTTGTCATTCACCAGCGTTTTATTGATAAGAACTAAAATTAAACAAGCTTACACAAAAGAGGACCATGACCGATGGTGGCCCTAGGGGAGCAACCGGTCACCGGCCGAAACTCAGGGGAGAGGAGACTTCAAGACGCGGTGGCTTTGGAGAGAGTTTCGTCGACCGACAGAGAGAGAAATTTGATTTTACTTTCTTTTATCGATATATTATTCTAATTGATGTGTGTCAGTTTGATAACACTAATCATGAGAACAAGAGTTTTTAAGTTGTAAATAAAATATCAACCAATTTCACCATTTATATGAATTTTTCGTTTCAATTCTTAAAGAAGAAGAAAATATATATACAAGTTAGGGGTGGGACGATTCCGAACATCCTGAAATTTTAGGGTATCCAGATTCGGAATTGTCGGTCCTAGAAAAAACTATCCGAATCCGGATCTGTGACCTCCGGATATCCGGATTCTAGATATCCGACCAAAAATCAGGATATTCGCGGGTATCCAGATCCAGATCCGGATCCGAAATCAATAGTAAAAATAATTAAAATAATTAATAAAAAAAGAAAAATATATTTTTAAAAATTATTAATTAATATTATAAATGGTATTTTTCATGGAAAAAATAT